GTTTGCGGCTTTCAAATCCATTTAAGTAGACCTATCTGCCAGCAGGAAACCAACCTGCTATAGTATGGCCTAGCGTCATCTGCAAATGCACAAACATTTTGGCATCATTCGGACATTTAGTGCCACAGCCATGCAGTGCATGTGGTGCCCGCCACCGACCCGTCCTGTGCATCGAATCAGCCTATGATAAGAACGACCATTCATCGAAAGACGATTAATTTTGGAACATAACTAAACTATGTGAAACCTAACCTCAGATGATGTGAGCTAAAAATTATGCAATATAATGATGTAACAAAAGTCATATTCCATCCGTTGTTTGGTGGTGCATGTCAGATTTCATGCAATTCCACTGACAAGCTGGGTTGATTGATTGCAGTTTGTTGTTTGCAGAGCACAGTTTAGTTTAGGGCAGGGTTGCCCAGTGGCTACAATTTGGGTTCAATCCCAGCTCTCTGCGACGGTTTTTGGAACGAATCTTCGAGGCCGAGGGGTTATGCATAGCCGAATCGGAGCAGTGAGTTGCATGTTCGAGACCACAACAAAGTGCAAAAGTTTTGCATTGTCAAGAATCAGCAACAGGCCTATGGCAGAATAAACTCTGAAACAGCTAATACTATTATTATATTATTATTGTGTCATGGGCAGGTTACTGACGGCAGGCTTAATCCGGCGCTGTGTGCGCTCATGCACAGAAATGTGCTAGGTGTTCCATTCACGGTTAATTGGTTTGCAAAATTGGTGGTTTACAGTTGCACTCATGTTTGAAAAGTTAAACTCATACAGTCATACATCTCCATCATGCATCACATCTTTACCAGCTGGCAGGAGACTTCTGAGAACTCAAGAAACCAGGTTTTGGGAGATAACCCCGACTTAACCAGTACATATGTATAAATTACCAAGTGAAAAAAGACGTTCAGAGGCAAATTTGACAATTTATTTGAGGCAAAATGGTGTACCAGAATTAACAGTATTATTAGCATAGGAGAGGCATTGTCCTGATGCAAGACAAACCTTCTTTATCGTCCTAGTAACTTAGTTTGTTAGCGCACCAGTACTTCCTTCCGTAAATCCATCAGTAATTGATTATTACCTCATTATAGCGACATGGGTAAAGCTTAAGAGTCCCAATCGATACAGACCTTGGCAAACGGGTGCGTAAGACCGTAGCAAACAGGCGCAGTGATATCACAGCATACAGGTGCGGTGAGATCGTAGCAAACAGGCACAGTCAGATGATAGCACAAAAGCTTGATAGCTCTTAATTAAAAGCCTAATTAAGTAGTGTTAAATATTCAATAGTGTTCTAATTCCAAGCTGTGTCATATTCCAATACAGCTCACACAGCAATCAGAATTCAAACACAAGAGTGTCGGCATTACGAATTAGTAGAGTTTGAAGCGCGGCCGAAATTAGTCTCACAAAATGCCCAATTTAGTCACACACTGTCAGAAAATATGGATTTGGTAGGCTTGCATTCTAAAGGCTTTTACCTAAATAAATATGGCAACATTTTGTGACATTTCATTGTTGCTGGCGCATAGTGCAGTGTTTTGTAATTAGTAGAGTTTGAAGCACGGCCAGAATTAGTCTCATAAAATGCCAAATTTAGTCACACACAGTGTCAGAATATATGGATTTAGTAGGTTTGCATTCTAAAGGCTTTTAAATAAATATGGCAACATTTTGTGATGTTTCATTGTTGCTGGCGCATAGTGCGGTCTTTTGAGAGTGACATAAAACAAACAGAACTCGAGTTGCGCATACGGTGATTTTTTTATAGCCATTAATTTTTTGCTACGTCCTTAATGTGTTGGAATATACCGCGTTTACCATATATATTTAGTATGATGTGCGGGCGCTGACGCTATAGACGAGCAGGCACTGACGCTGCATATCATCAATACATACGTCAAGTCATATAATATAAAAAACTTTAAAAACGTTTTTCATGTTTAGCAACGGACTAAAAAGGAGAAAATAAAATACTTAGAAAAACTTTGAAAAAAACACGTTTTTCTTGTGGACTAAAAAGTAGAAAATAAATTATGCTCGCCCCAAAAAACGTGGGTCAGGCTGTACGTTCACCATCAAATTTCCAAAATTCATGTTTAGTGTGCTTTTTGCATTAATCATAAATCTGCTTGGCACACGTTTTTTGGGGCGAGCCATAATTTATTTTCTACTTTTTAGTCCACAAGAAAAATGTGTTTTTTTAGAAGTTTTTTTTTAAATATTTTTTTAAAATCAATTCATTTTTAATTTCCTCATTTAGCTACTTAAGATTTTAAACAGTTTCTTAAGTATGATAATGCTGGTATCCATGATACTTTACTGGTTTGCTTATTGGACTTGAAAATGAACTTGAGTTAAGTAAGAGCCTAAAAAGTCTCTGCTTTGACAGTTGACACCATGACCAATTATTGACCATGTCAATAAAAAATAATTCAGTGTGAAATTCTGGACAAGTAGAGTAAATGCACCATATTCCGACCGTGGGTAATTCCGACACTTCTCAACTTTTTCCTTTATATTAAGCTTTGTCTTACTTCCACGCATGCGTAGATGGTTGAAATAGTGACGTCATGCTATTGCGCACCCAATTCCCGCAAAGCACTAGGTCTGGGCCGTCTGGCCGGAAAATGTTAAGATCCTCAGTGCGACAGTCCACATCACCCAGTGGGAACATTGAATCTGATAGTTGACCTTGCTCTACCAAATAGTGATAAAGTGTTTGTGTAGAAAGAATATTATGGTTTGAGACTTTTAAATAAGTCTGTGAATATATTATGAATCCTTTAAGTATAT